AGTTTTATTCGGTTCATTCATATGAAAAGAGTTTGAACGATTTGGTTTTAAATCTAAAACTTTTTTCTTTTTCTTTTTTCCTCTTCTCCCTCCATATTTTACTATATTTTAAGCCATTTTCACTTGGAAAATATCCATGGTAGCGTACATTTGCATTTGACCTTATTTTATTCAGGTGATTGATATGAAAGATTGTTTTTTTTGTTTTTTTTTCCTCCAGATGTAAACAAAACTAAAAAAAAATTTGATTTGTTTGTTTTTTACTGAAGAAACTTAAACCATGAACTTATCTTGTCATATTTTGCCCATTTTTAAGCCATTGCAAGCCAAATGTTTAGATTTGATATTTAAATCAAACTATCGGATTTAAATTTTAAAAATCTAAAAAATGTTAAATTTGAAAAGACCTTTAAAGGTGTGAAAATGTAGCAAAATGTCAAATCAATAAAAAAAATAAAATAAAAAAAATTCTCACTTTAAAATAACCATGATGGTGTTAAATTACACATGCATTTACATTTCAATTTTTTTTAATTCAAGATGAGCTTTCTTTACAAATTTTGCTATATTAAGCCATCTCTCTCTCTCTCTCTCTTGTCTCAGATTTAAATTTTTTTAAATCACTTTTTAAAGAGAAACTTGGAAGTTTCAAGTTTCTAATTTTCCTCTTATCTTTAATCTTCATGTTTCCAGGTGAGCGTCCGCTGACTAAAGATAACCACCTCCTGGGCACCTTTGACCTGACCGGCATCCCTCCGGCTCCCCGCGGCGTCCCTCAGATCGAGGTCACCTTCGAGATCGACGTCAACGGCATCCTGCGTGTCACCGCCGAGGACAAGGGCACAGGCAACAAGAACAAGATCACCATCACCAACGACCAGAACCGGCTGACCCCCGAGGACATCGAGCGCATGGTGAACGAGGCCGAGCGCTTCGCCGACGAGGACAAGAAGCTGAAGGAGCGCATCGACGCCCGCAACGAGCTGGAGAGCTACGCCTACTCCCTGAAGAACCAGATCGGGGACAAAGAGAAGCTCGGTGGCAAGCTGTCGTCCGACGACAAGGAGGCCATCGAGAAGGCCGTCGAGGAGAAGATCGAGTGGCTGGAGTCTCACCAGGACGCAGATCTCGAGGACTTCCAGGCCAAGAAGAAGGAGCTGGAGGAAATCGTGCAGCCCATCGTAAGCAAGCTTTACGGTAGCGCGGGCGGCCCGCCACCGGAGGAGGGCGAAGATCAGGGCGACAAGGACGAGTTGTAGATCATCTGGACTCTGTTTTCAGTCACGTTAACGCCTTCGCCTCGCTACGTGTACATATTAAACACAACAGACATTTTTGTACGAGACGGGCGAACGTAAAGCCTCCAATCTCTTTGGGGAAAGACTTGTGGGAAGCCTTAGAGAGTTGCTTTTGTTGTTATTTTCTCTTCACTCCGGTGGAGATTCAGTCAGCCTGGTTTGAGGCTCGATGCTGCTGTTCTCAGGCAGTTCTGTGAGGGGCGATGAGCGGGAGGGAGGGTGCTCGGGGTCAGGGGTTACTGGATAAATGTCATGTCACATGCTCAAAGTTATTTATTGAAATCTGGCATCTGTAGAAGACATTTCTACAACCATTACAAAATAAAGGTTTGATACAAAACCGACGACAAGGAGGCCATCGAGAAGGCGGTCGAGGAGAAGATCGAGTGGCTGGAGTCTCACCAGGACGCAGATCTCGAGGACTTCCAGGCCAAGAAGAAGGAGCTGGAGGAAATCGTGCAGCCCATCGTAAGCAAGCTTTACGGTAGCGCGGGCGGCCCGCCACCGGAGGAGGGCGAAGATCAGGGCGACAAGGACGAGTTGTAGATCATCTGGACTCTGTTTTCAGTCACGTTAACGCCTTCGCCTCGCTACGTGTACATATTAAACACAACAGACATTTTTGTACGAGACGGGCGAACGTAAAGCCTCCAATCTCTTTGGGGAAAGACTTGTGGGAAGCCTTAGAGAGTTGCTTTTGTGTTATTTTCTCTTCACTCCGGTGGAGATTCAGTCAGCCTGGTTTGAGGCTCGATGCTGCTGTTCTCAGGCAGTTCTGTGAGGGGCGATGAGCGGGAGGGAGGGTGCTCGGGGTCAGGGGTTACTGGATAAATGTCATGTCACATGCTCAAAGTTATTTATTGAAATCTGGCATCTGTAGAAGACATTTCTACAACCATTACAAAATAAAGGTTTGATACAAAACGAGCACATTTGTTTGCGTCTTTGATTTTTAAATGTCACTATCTAAAATGTTGATTTTGTTCCCCTGAAATGTTAACAATATTAGATTTTCAGTTTTTTTTTTTGTTGTTAATATTGGTTTAGTTTTAATTGATTACTAAAACTGAAATAAAAATTAACTAAACAAAAAAAGAAAGAAAATTTAGTGACCCGCACAAAAAAATCTAAAACCAACTCCTTTGAACTAAAATATTTATCTGAAGTCCCCTTGAAGTTAATATCACATTTGCATGTTTATTATGGTTATCTGATGTTGCTTAATGGTCAAAAGACATGTAGCTAAAAATAAATAATATATATGTGACCCTGGAGCACAAAACCAGTCATAAGAGTCAATTTTTCGAAATGAAGGTTTATAAATCATCTGAAAGCTGAATAAATAAGCTTTCCATTGATGTATGGTTTGTTACGATAGGACAATATTTGGCCGAGATACAACTATTTGAAAATCTGGAATCTGAGGGTGCAAAAAAATCTAAATATTGAGAAAATCACCTTTAAAGTTGTCCAAACGAAGTTCTTAGCAATGCATATTACTAATCAAAAAGTTTTGATATTTACGGAAATTTACAAAATATCTTCATGGAACATGATCTTTACTTAATATCCTAATGATTTTTGGCATAAAAGAAAAATGTATAATTTTGACCCATACAATGTATTGTTGGCTATTGCTACAAATATACCCCAGCGACTTAAGACTGCTTTTGTGCTGCAGGGACACATATATTATGTTCTTTTAGTAAGGGTTTTTTTGTTTTTTTTTTACATTTATTTTCATTTTACATCTATAATTGAATTATTAGTATTTGGGTGATGTCGCGTCTTTTAACGGTAAAGCGCCATTCACACATCGGTTTCAAATTACCGGTAAATTCTGTGACATCATTAAAGGCACAATATGTAATTTTTTTGCTGCAAAGGCATAGTTTGTTGACACCGTGACTGAGTGTGGAATCATGGGAGTTGTCGTCTTCATCCCCACAGATGACACAATCCGACGGGACTCATGTTCATGGACGAGCTAATGTATTAAAGATTTATTAACGTCGTAGTATGAAGCAGAGTGAGTCGGAAAGCCGTCGAAGACGAGAGTGACGTGACACACGGCTCGAAAGCAGCGGAGCTTTTATTATGCCACAGTCGACCGCTTCAGCTCCTTCCGGTCGTGCGTATGTGGGGTAAAGCAGCACTGTTTTATCATACTAGATACGTTTGAAAGTTCTGTTATAATGCTACTCTGTGCGGTCGTCACCGGTCTAATAAAACGCACAACATATTAAAGCGTCTTTGGTGTTTCCATGTTTTCTACAAAACAAAACCGGAAATCGAGGGGTTATGACGTCATTGGCAGGCGACACTATGGACACGCTCCGTGTCACTAGTTAAAATTGCTTATTTCTCTGGATTTAAACATTCTTTGAAACATTTGGGATAATGTAAGTACACAAGTCAGCAAAATATATAACACTGTTCTAGTGGTTTTTGAATAAAAAAATCGTACATATTGTGCCTTTAACTAGAAATGACCTCTAAATGGCAGCGCCTCCCGGTGTTGTGTTTGTAAACGCCATCAGTGTTTTTGTTGACGTTTTCATTTTTGTGTCAAACATTCACATTGATGCAGCTGCTTTTGGCCCAGAGACATCGTATTAGACGACTCCAAAACTGAACTACACAGCGTGGAGTAAATGCGTCATCTGCATCAGAATGTTCTGATTGGACCAGAGCCATTGAAGTTTAGATTTCAATGGCTCTGGAGTGGCCCAGAGTAAACATCTGAGTAAACATTATGGGCTCATAACAGCAATCTTCATTCTGCATTCACACAGAGCAGATTACTGGTAATGTTACAACAAATTTACCGGTATTTTTAATAAAGGTCCAGTTCACACATGATCTCTTAATAACGGTAATTTACCAGTAAAGTCTGTATGTGTGAAAGGGGCTCTTAACATTAACATGAATTAATTTTTAGCTTTTCATCAACTCACAAACCCCAGTTTAGGAAGCCCTGTATTAAAAATACTGTTTAAAAAAGGTAACTGACTTTTTTGATGATTGAAACTTCATCCAATCATTTACCAAACACATGGTGAACAATTACAACATCTAGTTTTATAGTTTTAACGCTGAAAACAGATTCAGGTTCAAGGGATTTTCAGGAAATCAAATCTTTTACAGTTTTTTGGACTTTAGAGTTGTAAGAGGTTTACTGAATATTAAAGCCCAGCGTTCATGTCAGCACAGTAACGAGGCAGTCGTTGAATATGATGCCCTGAGTGTCCATTCCTCCGAAGATGAAGCACAGATGCACCACGTCTGCGTCACATGACTGAGCTGCGTGTTCTTCAAGCGTCTTCACACGCCACGGCACTAAACACATGGAGTGATCCAGTCTGCTGGGAGGAGGATCTCCGTCAAACCTCAGCCGCGTCCAGCGCTGTTTGTCTGCCAGCAGAAGTAAGAACTGATTTTACTTTATATGTTCTGATGATCTACAGAAAGACATGTGCACAGCTTGCTTTTCTGGCCACATTAGGGTTATAATATTTATATTACAGTTTTTTTACAATCATTTTTGCACTAATATCGGAACCTTCATGTCGTTTTTCAAAACTCTAAACAACTGATGATCAAAATGCACATTTATAAAACAGATACAGTAGTTCCGGTGCTTGATTCTGATTGGCTGAGCCGCGTTCGAAGCTGTTGTAAATGACTCTACAAAGTAACATA